GGATTTAAGGCCCCCTGGTCGGGATTTAAGGCCCCCTGGTCGGATGCTCTTAGCAGATTCTGCCTTATTCCTCTTCCCCAAAAGTAGGCTTGCAATTTTCCCATAGGATCACAAGCTACATCACGGAACAGGGAGTTCACTCACTTTTACTGCAAACTTGGGTCCTCCCCTGGCAGGCACGGGGGCTCTTTTCTTCTTGTTTTGCTCAATGGCAACGGGGGCATCAGGAAACAGCTTCTCCAGGGCAGCCAGGGCAGCGTAGGCTTTTGCCACCTTTTTATTCGATCCCGCTCCTTGGAATTTCTGCCCATCAACCTCCACCTTTGAAAGGGATTAAAGCGTCACACGTGAACGCAAAGGGCAGAGGCTCCCCCTTGTGAACGCGCTCGACGTGGCCGATTGTGTTTATAGGTGTTTTACGGACAATCCCGGTAGGAATCTGGGAAAACGAGGAGCGTAAGGCTGCAGGTATGGGAGCTGGGATGCCTGGAATGCCCTCACCTCCATGACAAAGCGCTTGTCGTGACTGCCGCCCGTTTCGGAGATGAGTTCGTATTTCAGCCCGCGCCGCTTCTCGTTGAGCTCCATGACCGGATTCTTGCCGTGTTTCGTCAGGATTGGTCCCTGTTGCTTCACATTCTGGAAGAGGAGAGGAGCTCATGAAGCTCCAGGGAAAACCTACCGGATGGGAAGGTACTCCCAAAATATGAACTTTGTATGGATGAAAAATATCTTAAAACAGGACACTTGCGCTAGGATCAACTCGGACAATAATCTTATACCTTAAAATTTATCATTACAGTGACTGAAAATTGCTGTTATTTTATGTGTAGACTCGGGCTGGACGCTTTCAGTATGTTAAAAAGTCCTTAAAAAGAAGTTTTCAACCTCATTTTCTCCTAGAGGCTCTCAGGGACCTCCCGAGAGCCCGCTCACCTCTGAGGTTTGATCCGAGGGAGGAGAAGCAGCACTAGGTGTGGAGACAGTTTCCACTACGGGAGGAGGAGCGACAACAACCGGTTTCTGTTCCGTTTCCTCCGCCGATTCATCCCCCTTCACGGACTCTTTGCCCTCCACTCCCGTGGGCAAACCCATATCTTGCAACACCTGGAGCGGGGAGGAGGAAAAGGGATTACTGGAGAGCACTGACCTGAGACCTGCCCCTTCTCCCACACATCTGGGGGTAAATATTGGAAATATTTCAACGAATCGCCATTTGTTTTGTTAGGGTATTATGTTAACATTCTGCTGGGATTATTCATCCGACTTTTTCCCCCCTTTCCCAAATCCCGTGGGCACTTCAAGAGCTAAGTCCCAGGCACCCTGCTTTGTGCTTCATGTCCAGATTATTTTGTCTGGATATTTAACTTCTCTCCTGGATGTGACCTGGTCCACGCTGAAGGATTTATGCATTTCTCGTGCAAAATAACTGTGACTTTCACAACAAGGGGCTTTCAGGTGGCCCTTTTCAGGTTTAAGAGGTCAGAATTATCCTTAGGAAACAGCCTGCCTGTTTTCCAGAGCCCTTTGGCTGTGTTTTCCAGGGACAGCCCTCACCTTCACCGCCACGTGCAATTTGGCTGTCTTTTTGGAAGGTCCTGAGGCCTCAAACGTGCTGCCATCGATTTCCACAGACATCGTAAAAATAGGGGCATGGACAGGGCCAGTCTGAGACACGAGTTTGTACTGGAGCCCAGGTTTGAGCTGGTTTAGTTTCATCAGTGCATTCATGGCCTGGGGAGGTTCAAGTTTTTCCTCTGAAGAGAAAAAAAACCACAAGTTTTCAGATGTTTGCAATGTCTCGAGAAGAAAAGCTGATCATAGACAGCAAGTTATCCATCATTTTTGTTCTCATGAGAGTTTAAAAGTTATACCAAATAAGCCCATACAGCAGTAATTAATTAATTTACTTAGAGCTTGCATGTCCTACAACTCATATTTAGACATCACTCAACATCAAACACTCCCAAGAGTTTTGGTTGTTACCACCCTCCCATCTTAGCCTAAAAACAGCCTTCCGGGAGCCGTCGGTACCTACCTCTCGTTAACTCAATACCTTTTTTCTGAATCTTCTTTTTCTTTTTGCTGGGAGATTTCTCCTCTCCATCCTCCTCCATAGGACGCTTCATTGGGGTAACAGCATATGTGGTACTGGGAGGAATCTGGACTGTAAAATTGTGACAGAAGAGCTAAGAATTCCAGTTTCCAGGAACAAAACAGCCTTAAAACACGCGATTATTTCCTAGTACCTACCAGTGTAGTCAACAGGGTTTTCGTTCTTTGGTTTCTTGGGCATTTTGGAAGGGAGGGGATCCATCCCCAAGACCTTGTGAAGCTGGCCAAAAGCAGCAAGTCTCAGAGCATGCTAGAAAGATTGGACACGTGTTACCGGGACGCACGCGCTGCTCCACTCATCTGTTCCCTGCAGTTTCAGACAGGAACCTTCTGCCCACCCCTACACAGGACTCCTCATCCGTTTAAATAGGACTCTCCTTGGAATTTTTGCAAGTTCAAGCCAAAATACGGGTCATGGTAGTCAAGTCACTATTTAAAACCTGATACTTTGCTTCTGGTTGGCCGAGCTACAAATTCCTTATTGGTGTGGGACCCATTTGTATCGCTTTACTTGACTAGGTATTAAAAAAGTTAACACCAACCTCTGCGAGGTTACTATGCTACCATTAACCAATACGGAAGTTCAGAGTCAGTTGAACTGATTAAGTTTTTGTAACATCTGTAGTCAAAACTATACCTGAGCACTCTGTGTGATATCTTCCCTTTGTTGTCTGTCTAGATGCCCAATAGCATCAGTGGCTTCTTTTTCACAAGGATCATAAATACCAGAACCATCTGAAGGCAGGAAACAAGGAAGATATGCAGAGAATTATCCTGGTGTTTCTAAAGAAACTAAACTAAGTATTCCCTTGGCATCAATCAACACTCATCTCTCGAAGAACACCGACTGACATGATCCATCCACTGTCCAACACTCTGAGACTCGTCGGGGTTATTTTACATGTACAATTATAAGTGAAACTGGTCACAAGCGCTGCGAGAGGCAATGTTACACTTGCAAGGAACTGGTACCTCTCTCTACAGGGTTTAACATCATGGGTCCATAGCTTTGAACACATGTGCCCTAAAGAATAGCGAGCTACGGTGGCACCCATATACATCAGGGGATTATTTTTTTCCCCGAGTGTTGCATCTAGGTTGTCCACGCGTTTAACAAGGGATGTCTCAAACACTAGGCAAAGCTTCCAGCCCGTTTCATGTGCGCTTCGCTTTGAAATGGAAATGCAGAGAAGCACCTAACCTGGCATCACGATTCCCGACGCGAGGCACTCGAGGACCCTCCTCAGGGCCTCGCCGGCTCCCATGGGTCTGTTTGCGGTGCCGATAGATTTTTCACACAGCAGCTCTAGAGGCTGAAAGAGATTTGGGGAAAGTGAGGAAAGCGAACGGACACGGAGGGAGCGAGGACGGCCGCACGTTCCTCGAACGGCGCACGCTGCAGAGCTCCGATGTGTTTTTCGCGGCTAAAAGCTCTGTTTTAGCATTATAAAAAACCGATTTGTTGAGCGGGAACGCTTGCCAGCTTCGAGCTGCACGAGGATTTGGAGAAGCGGGATGGAAGGAGGAAAAGAAAGGAATTACCCATCCTCGGAGCGGCGCCCAAGTGGGGACCCGAGTACACAGGTCTCTCAGAACCCGGATCACTATGACACACGACTTCAGCCCGTTAGCCCTGGCCTAGGAGAGGAATCAAAAGCAGAAGGAAATTCAATAAAAACACCCCAACTGTGCTTTTTGCAGACATTAACTTTTGCGGTGCTACTTTGTCAAGGGTAAACAATAGTCGACATGACAACTTTAGAGCTTTAATGGTCGTGTATAAAGGCAACATTACTCTTAACACAAAGCAGCAGCTAGGCATCTACTCATTAAAAAGGTCCCTTCTGAACATTAAATCCACTTAAGTGCTTCTTTAGCAACTGTACCGTCGACAGACGCTAAGTTCAGCACGTCTAACTACCGTCCAACTTTAAGGTATTTTAAATAATAATAATAAAAAAAAGGCCAGTTAAAGGGTTTACGAATGTTCTACTTAAAGACAAATATAAGAGCAAAATGCAAACCTGGAACCACTTGGCGTGTCGGAGTGACGCCAAGGCAGCAAGGCATTTCTGCCTGTCCAGAACGTCCGGGGAGTCGGTGACTGATAGCGTTTCTATTCGTGGATGGAATAAGAAGACAAGGCACAGTTTGACCAAGGGGGTTCTGTCAGCTGGAGAGGGGATGAGGCAGCTTCCTAAAGGGCAGCGGAGGCTCCCAAGAGACCACGGGCTGCAGCCGTTCCCTGCAAGGGAACTTCGCCCGGATATTGGCGTCGCTCGGAAATTTCAACCGTGATGGAACGATCGGGGAAAAGAGCCGAGCGTTTTGCGAGGGGGACAGGGGGACAAAGGCTGCCTGGGAGAGGACAGGAATCCTTCAGCGCTTCCGTGAGGTCGCAGAGCGCCAGGCGGGCCGGATCGGGAGCGAGCGGCAATTTGGGCTCAATCCCCCGGCCGCGCTCGGAGCGCGGCTGCCACCAAGGGAACCCCCTGTGCCCTCAAGGCTTGGCTGCCCCGGCCCCAACCGTGACAGAGAGCGGCCTGTTGGTCAAAGGTCCAGCGTCCCTAAAATTGACAAACTAGAAGGCTTGGTAGACGAGGTCAGATATCAAAACCATAGACAGGCAAGAGAGCACAACAGTATTTTCCAGTCTGTGCTGCAGCAAAACTGAAGAAAAGGTCGGAGGAAGCGGCGAGTTTCCCAAGACCAGGGTTTTAGATAAGGCTAACGGAGCAAACGTGCGAGCGCCGCGAATGGGCGCCGTGTGCGAGAGACACGTGGAAAAAAAGCGAATTTTGGTTCCAAAAGCAACGTGAGGATCGACTGCTAACTTTATCCAAAACTCTGCATGGCGTGCTGGGATTCTGAGCTTTGGCCGCTGAAACGGCCCGTCGAGGAGACCCAGAGCACGTCTCATTCTTGCTGCAACACAAACTGCAGAACATCCAATCTCAGGTACATGCAAGGCATTTAACGAGAAGCCTTCAACACGTTCAAAATGTATATGCTTACACTCTCATGTATGGCGCAGGCCGCTTACATGGCTAGGTACAAAACGAGATTAATTCAACGATATTACGTATTAGTGAACTAAAGGTCCGAGTAAAAATGAAACTGAAAAAAAAAAGAGCAAAATACCATTTGAAAAGTGCTACTCAATTTCAAAAGTTCAGTCCGAATAAACCGTAATGGTGATTTCACGGAGCTGGTGCGCTACGAAATCTTGAATTGGCATGAAAATAATTGCTGCTACTTTGGTTGAAATTGAATAGCATGGTTTAACAGTGAATTAGCAACAGAAAAGTACAACTTTCCAGACCGACTGTTGGCTTTTTCAGTCGTCCATACCTCCAGCTAACTGTTTCTCCATTTCCTCCCTGACAACAGGCGACGTCAAATGGATGGTCAGTGTCAACGAAGGCTCTTTTGTGTTTTTAATTATAATTGCAGCGTCACCAACTGACTGGATTATTTCGTATTTGTCTTCTGTAATAGCCTGCAATATAATTTCACCAGTGAGCGATTAATTCATTGCTTAGAGCTCCACTATCCTTCCCATCCTGCCAAAAAAAGAGCAAGGTCTGTAAGATTGCAGTTATTAAGATGTTTGTTTACAAGGTAATGCCAAAACGATGAGGGACGTTGATGGAATTATTTTCGTAAGACAAAATAACGCATCATAAAGTGCTGCCAAGTGCCCTTTTATCCATTCAGAATGGATTCTTCCCTGTAATGTGCAGAAATTGGGAAGGTTTTACTCACAGCAAGCTGTACCCCGAGGTTGTCAGCCACTTTCTCCAGGAGATCCGCCGTGGGCTTGTCTTTGCACAGGAGAACTAGCTCAAGGTCCAGGTCGCCCTTCAGCAAGAGGCCTTTGGCCACCAGCCCCACGCGCATGACCCCGCGCAGGGTCCTCGTCAGCTGCTCCGTGGCCTTCTGATCCCTGCGGACACACGGGGAACGACCGCGATGGCTTAAAAAAACAAGGAATTCGCTGCAGGTGGAAGCCAAAGGATGCACAGCGGAGATTAAAGGTCGCCCTTCAGCAAGAGGCCTTTGGCCACCAGCCCCACGCGCATGACCCCGCGCAGTGTCCTCGTCAGCTGCTCCGTGGCCTTCTGATCCCTGCGGACACATGGGGAATGACCACGATGGCGTAAAAAAACAAGGAATTCCCTGCAGGCGGAAGCCAAGGGATGCACCCGCAGAGATTACGGATGAAACGGGACTCCCCTCTGCTTAAAAACTGCTGCAGGCCCAGGTTGCCAACCCCTCTCCTATCAATTCCGCTGTTCCGTAGCCCGGTGAGCACCTCTGCAACCTCAGAGTAAATTCCTACTGATCTAAGTGAGGTTGTGCTGTTACTTCCCCTTAAAAACGCCCGTTTCGCCTCGTTCCTCACCCTCCTTCTTTGCTCTCCTCTTCCGCAGCTGCCTCCATGGTCTCTTGCTCCGGCTGCTCCCCGCCCCTTCACGAAGAGGCGCATGGGCCGCTGCAAGGGACGCGGATCAGCGACGCGCCGAACCCAAATTCATCTTTTCAACCCCCAAAATCCACCCCCTTACCATGTTTGCCTTCGGGTGTCTGTCCCAGTTTTCCCCAGGAACTTATTCGGACGCTTCTGCCGGGATGACGGGGCTGGTTCCGCAATTTTCTGGAATCTGGGAAGAGCAGAGAACTGGTCAGCAGTGCTTTAGTGGAGGGTCCGCACGGTCCCCGCAGCCTGCTTGCTGCAACAACAGAAATCACGGATATTAGCAACCAGAACGGGTAAGAAATTGAAGTTTTATCAACTCCTCTTGAAAATCAAGTTTTCTTCTCCAAGACCAATGTTCTGCAGACTCACAGAGTGCCCACAATGATGACTAAAACCCGTTTTATGGCATAAAACGGGCAGAGCAGCCTGCACCAAGAGCAGCGCTTGGAACCTCCGGCAAAACGTCCGGCTGTTCCCGACCACTCCGCTTCCCTCCTCGCTCACGTTGGCCTCAGGGATGTTATTTCAGCTCCTCCTTCGGCTTTCCCATTAAAAATGCTCTTTTTTTGCAAAGTGTGCTCTCTTATTTCCAAAAGAGCTTGTAATTAAGATGAAAGCATCCCCCGATGCACGGGGAAACAGTTTGCATGGAAAACGACCTGTTTTTGATGTGATTTGTATCCAAGCTAATTAATTGCAGGTAAAGACCCAGATTTGTATCACCTGGTTACCAAGGCAACCCCTTTTCCTGTGCTCACTGCTGCTCCTCGTGAAAGGCTGGCGGCCGAATATGGATTTTCACCCCAAATTCATTTTATGGCCCCAAAGTGGCCAAGCTGCATTTCCATTATCATCAGGATATCATAAATTCATAAATTCTCTTTGCTTATTTTAGCACATATTTTATCAGGAGGAAACTGCATCATCTTATGCTAGCAAATCTGCACACGAGTTGCTCCCAAAGTCCTCAAATTGAAGGGAATTGCTAAAATTAAGCCCAAATCCCCACTGCTTGTTTCGGAACGCGGCTGGTGCGGCTGTGCCTGGAAGGGTTAAGGTCTTTTTGTCCCGGTTCAAGCACTTTGCTCCCGTTCTTCCAGCCTTTCCAAAGTCGTGTCCTCGAGGCCCGGCTGAGGCTCTGCGGGATAAGGAGGCTCCCCGGGATCGCCCTTGGACACGAGGAGGCTCCTGGCAAGGAGTTCAAAACATCATCCCGCTGGGATTCGCTCGTCTAATCTGGAGCATCAATCGGAAACTATGTGGCTGCGATAAGAACCGGGAGGCGCTTGATTAGCGCCCGTTAATTGGGCTGCACCTCCAGAGCGCCCGTCTCCGACACGGCCCCCGGATTCCCGCAAATCCCTCGTGTTTCTCGGCAACTCCGGGAATTGCCACGTGCCGCTTCCGAACTTCCGAGGCCAACGGAGAGCCCCGGCACGGCACAAGGATTCACCCGGAGATTGGGATTGTTGGCATCTCTACCAACGGCTTCTCCTTCGCTTCAAATCGGGTTTTGCCAAGTTATTTCACTTTGTTTTATGATCACTTATATGTGCATGTTGCCATCACTAAGACACATAGAGAAAACGGCCAGAAAAAGCCAATTGCGTCTCAATTAATGAAGCCCTCGTTAACAAATCCCACTTCTCTGGAAATCCATCCGTTCAAAGCGAAACTGGGCTGAAATTTGCTTTTTCCCCGTGGAAACCACACGCCACTCGTTTTACTGGTTCCCAGGCTGATGGCTAATTAATATAGAGCTTGCAAATAGAAAATATAACTGAAAGGTAATGAATGTTTTACACTTGCATCATTATAGAGGATACAAATACAGCCTCCTGCATCTTAAACAAATGCAAGTGCTCGATATGCCAGATAATGATAAAGAACGAGCAATTAATTGTCCGAATCCTGGGTGTTTTATTACAATAATAGTGTTTTAACTATTAGCTGGGCTAAAATAACGTGCAGGCCCGTCTGGAAATCAGGACCCCCCTGTGCCAGGTGTTTTACAAACAGATCTCAGGCTCGTGGATTTATGGATACAAACGGGGATGAAATTGGGAAGTTCATTTCCCCCAGGCACTGAGGAATATTTTTGAAGAATAGGGATATTTTCCACACGGATTTCCAGAGCACAGAAATCCCTCCGATGCCAATCTGGCAAACTGCTAGGTACAGGATGACTTTCCCATTGTGAGGAACCGGGCGGACTTAAATGGATTTAATCGTAATTAAACCCACATGTCAGTGTCCGCTAACCAGGGAGAATTATTCCCAAGGTATCCACAAGGATCCACAAAGCACGTGTTGCAACGTAAAGATATATATTGAGCACTGAACATCCTCAGTTCCCGCCAAGCAAGGTAAGGAAGCAGCCAAAATCCAAATTAGTGGGTGCTAATTGGTGTTGGGAAACACAACAAGAGCCCAGTGAGTGAGTGGGATTCCTGCTTCCGAACATTCCCTTTCCTCTGGAAATCCCTGGCGTTCATTTCTCATGGGAACCCAGGAGCGGCACCGCCGGATTCGGGCCTCTTCGGAAGAAAGAGCCACAAAACAAGTTAAAAACATGAATTATGCCCAATTCCTGTCGCCGCTTGTCAAGCTGACAGCAGTTAAAATTTGGGGGGGAAAGGTAAAAGATTGGGTAAATCAAGCCCTGTTTTAAGACTTGCCTGCTCTGATTTTCCGCTGTGAATTCTACCACAAAGAGGGATTTCAGCAACTTTCGCTGGATTTTAGTATTCCAACATAACCCGACAGACAGTCTCACGTTGGGGAGTGGGTGGCAAAATTGTAGTAAAAATACTACGGGGTGAAATTTCTTCAATAACGAAGCCCTAGATAAGGGCAAAGTTTAATGCACATTGAGCAGCGTGCGTGGCTGAGGTTTCAGAATATGGCTCGATTTTAAGCAAGAAATACTGATTTTGGTGTTTCTTGCCCCTGTGGCTTTGCAGCACTCACACCTGCACAGGGAGGCTCGAGCGGCTGGGGCTGGAAAAACCTTAACCCTGCGTTTTTCTTGGGATTCAGGCATTTTGGCGATTCCTCTGGGGTCTATGGGCGCTGACGGGGGCCCCATCCACCTTTAAAATAAGTGATAAACACACAGAAAAACGACTCGAATAACTCGGGCGAGGGGAAACAAAAGCGGCGGCAGCGACTCCGCTGTCCTGAACCATCCAGAATCCAACAAATATAACGGGATGAATCCAGAGGGAGGGGGTTGGGGAGGGCGAGAGGAGCCGCATTTGGGGTGAATTGACCCAAAAATGAGACAAACCTTGAAGGATAAGATTGAGGGAAACAGGGTAAGTTTGGGAAAAAGATTGGGATTGGGGGGGTCCACACAGGCACATTTGGACACCCAAGGGGGTGAAGCCGCCTTATTTAAGTGCCCCCCCCCATATAAACACCCCAAAATGCACCCAAGGCGGGGGGAAGAAGGGCAGCCCCCCCCGTTGGGAAATGGAAGGGGGAGGGGGGACAGCTCCCGGCCCCCTCCCCACATAAACACCGAGGTCACCCCAAATATAAATGGGG